CATAAGCTTAAAACTTATTCCTACCAGTCTTCCTGTTGAAGATAAAGACCAGTGATCCAGTGTGTGTGGGCCAGTTAACACCTCAGTGGTGTAAATTAGGAGGCATATCCTGGTAATCTAGAAAAATCCACATCAGCACCCTATGTGACATTCATAAAGCCGTGTCGCTGAGCTTGCTGCTTTTTGTCCAAAGGTGTGTCGTGTGTGTGTGTGGTTTCCGTAGGGTGGGTGCAAGTTTAATTGGTTGTGGTTAGCGTCTGTGAGAAGCCAAATATATATTGTTTCTGTTAGCCATGTGGAAGTGATTTTTAAATGTAATTTTGATGATGGCTGTGTGCGTAACGATAATACTGGCCAACATGTGTTTTAAGGCTCTCTTAAATGGTACAAATGCTGCTCATTCTTTTGTTAGGAGCTCAGTTTACTATATCAGACAGTTATTGCCTATTTGCAGCTGTTTTAAACTACAAACATTAAAAAGACATTAAATAAATACGACACCCTGAGGAAATTACACATTTTGCTTCATAAACAACCTTTCAGAACCTGTTTCTGTCTCTTGGTTGCATTGTGCTGCAGTCAAGTCGCTTCATTAAAGCAGAAAAATGTGCTTGGATTTTACAACTATTAGGTCATCAAGAGTCCCCACCTTTCAGAATTGCTGGCAGGCATGCTGCGTGTGTTTGGAGAGGCGCTGTGGTCTTTTTTTTCCACAGTGTGAAGGCCTGCTCAGAGCGTGTGGGAGCCAGGATCTAAAGAGAAGAGGTCCGTGCCCCTGACCTGACCCTGAATATTTTCTAATGTGCAGCTTTACCAATGGTCCCTCTTTCCCCTGAGTGACTTTGACAAGCTGCTTCCGTAGTAATGTCTCTTAATTTCAAAGTAATTGCTATCTCTTAGTGATGAGGAACAACCCCTCACCCAAGCTGAAAAAATGTTAATATGTGGAAGACCACAGGTTGCCGGGGTCCTTTTTCTTCTGTTCCAGAAAGCCTGAGACCCCTGCTGTTCCTTTGGCCCAAGAGAGATTTGTGTCGAGTGTGAGGCCCTAACCTGAGGAGACAGAGTGCAACGAGTCATGTGCTTGTCTCGGGATGAGTGTTTGTGCTGGGCAGGAGGGGGAACATGGGGGAAGTAAGGGGCTGCAGGGTCAGAGGAAAGAAAGGGGGAGCGGCCGCTGCAGGTGAGGGGGATTAGCTGCAGCTAGAGGCCCAAAGAAACTAAATACAGATCTGTCAACCTAATCCTCACAAATAGAAAACAGAACCACCCTCCCTTCACAATCCACATTCAGCTCATCCACCTCTTGCTCTTCTACCCCCCACTACACGCCAATCCTCCCACCTCCCCTCCACTTACTACCTCAGGCTCTGCTGCTCCTCTGTTTCTCATCAATTTTTGGCCAGTCTGTCTATGCTGCCTGCTCTCTAATGGCTCCTCAGACCAGCATCCCCTAAAGAGGGGCTGACTGATCACCCAGGGTCCTCTCTGATTGACAGACCAACATAGCCTTACGGAGTGATGAAAGCAAGAGTCAAAGGGGCAAGGCCTCTCGCTACACAGACAGGAATCTTAATGGGACCTCTGTCGAGAGTTGCTGAAACTGGGTGGACATTTATCAGGCCCACACACCTCAGTAACGGATGCCGATAAGTGTGTGGCTGGATGAGGAAACCAGTGTCAAGCCTGGACTCTGTGCTGATGACACAAGTGACAGGGCGCCTGAGTGATAACATCCTATAAAGGATAAGCTCTACTAAGCTGGGTGTTATAGAAGGCTTAACTAAAACGGTATCTCTGATTGTCAGCAACACCAACTATAACTGATGGGTCTGGCTGGACTGCTGAGAGCTATAAATCAGGTTCAAGCTGCTCTGGTGATCCCAAGTGTGATATCAGCTTGCAGACAAACATGGGGTGGCAGGACATACCAGGTTGAAAGAAAGCAGTGAGTGATGGAGAGGAGAGCTGCAAGGTGCACTATTTCAAATAAGATAATCACATATTCCTCAGTGGAAAATATCTGCAGATCATTTGGACGTGTCACAGTATCATGAAGCTCATTTATACCAAATTAAAGAACGACATAAGGGTTGGGTTGCAATTGCCAGTTCCAAAGTATATGTAACCTATTTGTTATTGCTCAAGTCTAATAAAAGTCCTCTTGAATTTTTATCGCCGTCCTTTTTCATGATTTTTGTACCTGGCAAAACATTACGTTTAGTTGTTAAACATTGAGTTTTGGTTCTTTGGTTGTTGAGCTTTACAATGTGAACTAGTTTGAAGCTGTTTCATATACCCACCCCCCTCTTTTCTTCTGCCTGTCTCACAGCTGTGTCTCATATGTTCATGAGGCCCCTGGAAGTGTGAGACACCAGAAGGGGAACATTTGCAATAGCTCAGCTCCACCTGGTTAGGCTGTTTTAACAGGCCGTCGGTTTGTGCAGCGCACACAGTGGGGTTACGCCAAAAACATAGACGAAGGAGGACAGGACCAGCAGAAGAGGGAGGGGGCATGAGCAAAAAATGTGCCTCCGCCCTCTTGTGTCCTGGCACCCCAGCCCTACACTTCTTTATTTGAAGGTCAGTTTACCTTGAAAAAAAGTTTTACTGTATCGTCTGTTGGTCTACTTGGTCAGACCCCGCCCCTCTTCCACCAAACCTCATCCGCCTCACTGCATGCACAGGTCTTCAAAGGACTACTGCCTGCTGCTCTCTGAGGCAACACATGAAATAAATATTAATCTGACCTCTGACCGCATGCTTTGAGCTCCTAAGCAGTGTTAACCGGGCAGACAGAAAGAGCATCAACTCTTGTCATAGCTAAAAAGAAGTAAAAAGAAAGAAGCACAATATTTTGAAGTGTTACCTGGATGTGAAAGCATTTCCAGGTATATTTCACTGCACCGCTGTGTGGTCTTCTTTGGAGCTTTGCATCATGCTCCAACCTGTTGGAGTGTAGTGGGGAGGTGTTTATTTGCTCAGATCCACTAAGATCATAATGGAAAGAGCGCATGTGTGTGCAGTCAAAATGCTCCAGGCCAAATGCTGGGTTTTAAAAGAAAAGACCTTTTGAGTTTACCATTATGAGCTCTAATAGAATAAGCCTTGTCATCATGGCTGCACAGCTGTTCAACTCAGCAGAGTTTTCTTCCTGAAAAGACTTACTCAGGTACACGTGCATGTCTACGTGTCTACGTTTTTCAGCAGCTAAGCAGAAATAATCTGTGTATGTTTCATTTTATTCATTTATTTTTAACATTTACTTTTACAGGCCCAAACAGATTGTCTCACCATTTGTCCGGCTTGTGTATTTTAGCCAAAATATTCAATTTAGTGGGACACACTTGAGACAAGTTGTGGCTATTCTTTTGGAAGTTTGTATGTGTGTGTGCATTACTGACAGGATATTCAAACACTGTTTGTTCTACTTTTCTACTAGTCCCCCTTGTCAAAGGCCCCTTAGTGCAGCTTACCCTGCCTGGCCTCTGCCTGTGCCCACTGTTTACTGGGACTGTCACCAGACTCATGGAGGCCGAAACAAAGGGGGGTCTGTTCTTATTGTCCTGTCCAGGATTGTCAGTCCTTCTCTGGGCACAAACTGAACTGAGGGCTGGGGGTTGTTTGAAGAGCACTGGGGGCATCTGACCTCACCAGACTTACAGAAAGGGCATGAGAATGAGACAATGAGAAAGTCAAAAGAAAGTGAGAAAGAGAGGAAGATGTATAGCTATAACCCAGAACCTTTCAAGTCCTCTGTCGGAAACTGCTGTTATGTAAACACCTGCAGCCATTAGCTGATTCTATCTGAGGCACCGGATAGAAATGTTTATATGTTACATACTACTGAAAGGCGAGTTAAAAGCAAATAGAGTATTAGATATACAAAATGAGTAGTGGCAGGCTATGTAAGCTTTAATGCTTTAAGCAATGTTGAATTGTCATTGGAAAAAAGAGGAGTGGAACGCCTTTGAAGACAAGAACAACCACATTAAATGGGCAGGAAGGTGAGCTAAGACCCCAAGACATGCTCTACCTCCTTTCCTCCCTTTCCTCTGTTTGCAATCATAGCTTAAGCTGTCTGGCAGCCTCTCTTGCTGTGCCATTGAAGTCTAATTTTATTGTCATAAAAATCACCTGGCAGGCTGTAGCCTGAAGACCCTTTGAAACTCCTCTCTCTGTGCAGTGAGTACTCTCTAGATAAAGCAGTCATTCTCGGGCCATCTGAAGTCCCTCCGCCTGTGTCAGTGAGAGCAAAGCGCACATGAGGGTCAGGAGCGTTCTATTAAAGTGTGGTGTTTAAGAGGTGCTGGTGCCAGGGGGGCAGATGGAGGAATGAAGCAGCTGCCGAACATCTGCACCCCTCCTTTGCAGTCTGAGCCCTGTGCACTGCTGCTTTTGTCACAAACTTCCTGCTCTAGCTTTGGGGATGGAAAACTAGGATATCTTCAGAAATGCAGCGTGAAATGGCAGTTGTGGGGCTGCAGTACAGCCTCTTTGACATCAAAAGATAACAGGCTTTAGAGTCTCAGAGCCACATGACCCAAGGCATTCAGAGAGTGCACCTGCGGATCAGCCAATTAACTATTGTAATGGCAGGACTGCAACTACATGTTGCGACCTCTCCTACAGTACTGAAGTACTCACTTGCAAAGTCAAATAAGAACTCAATGATTTGAAATCAGCCTTCCATATGTACACTCACCATGAACGGTCTGTTGTGGTTGTCTTAACATCAGTCGTTAGTGAATTATCACGAGCCTACAGGTACTAGGAAATGTGGAAAGCATTGACGAAATGTGGTGTATAATAAACTGAAGCGTCATAATACAAACCCAGTCCTAATCCTTTTCTTATTTGCACATGTAGCCTCAAGGCGTTCTCCTACTGGCAACAAAGCCAGGCTAGCTCTGCTCAATAAGGCAACCATAACATTCTCTCTCTCCCTCCCTCTCTCTCTCTCCCTCTACTCCTCTTTGCAAACAGCGCCTCCTCAAAACTTGTTCTCGTCACTCCTAGTGAAACCTGTCTGCTTGCAGCCTTCTCTCTGCAGTTGCAGGCTGCACTACAGCTGGTAGAGCTTGACCGCAGGTTGCGCATGAGGTCCACGCGTCCAGGAAAGCAGTCAATAAAAGGACTTTGAAGTGAAGTTGATGTTTCACTCGGCAGCACGTCCCTCAACATGAGGGACCGTAACTGATTTTGGATATTAAACACAGAGTGTCTGCTGCTAAAAGTTTACTAACCATTTTTTTTAGAGTTTCGGTGATCCGAATTGGGCGCAATTACGCACTGCGAGCATTATGGCACAGATTTTGGATAAGCGTGCTCCCGTTTTGCTCTTGGTTTGGAGCTACTGCGTCCTGGCAAACACTGCCTTTACGAACTTTACGTTGGACAACGAGTTTCACTCCAGTTTCATCCACCGTCGGCTGAAGAGCCAGGAGCGCAGAGAGATGCAGCGGGAGATCCTGTCGATCTTGGGGCTGCCGCACCGGCCGCGACCCCACCTCCATGGAAAACACAATGCTGCCCCGATGTTCATGCTGGACTTATACAACGCCATGTCTACAGACGGAGACGAGGACAGATACTCCTATCCTTACAAACCCGTCTTCACCACACAGGGTCCACCGATAGCCAGCCTGCAAGACAACAACTTCTTAAACGATGCAGACATGGTCATGAGCTTTGTGAATTTAGGTAGGCACTTTATTTTCTTAAGTCTCCCATCACATTCAATTTTATATAAATCCCCTCCCAGAAAAACAAGACGGTGGAGAAAAATAAACACGTTGAAATATTATCAATGTAATCGTTGCTATGCGCGTCATAATAACCCAGGTCTTTTATTTGATTATTAAAATGTAGTACTAGTATGACTGTCTTTATATATTAATTATCAAACACATAGCAAGGACTTTGAAAAAAAGCTTTTTTTAAGGACACATATCTTTGGCTTGACGATTATAAGTGTTGAGAAGTTTCACATGTTAATTCGCGCCGGTGTTCTTTTTTAACAAGGAGATTTAGCACTTTTAATATTGCACTCTGCTTACATCTTACACATTGTTTTTGTGAAAAATCAGGCTTTTAGTCATATGATATGTAAGTGTCAAAGGTGGAAGAGCAGAATGACTGTGGTGGTATTTTATCTTCTTACAGCGCTTCACGTAAAGAAACAGCACAAGTATTTTTCTGATGGTCCACCTGTGTCCACACAAAGGAGACCAGCACAATAACCACGTTTACATACTGCAGTTATCTAGCTAATACCAGGAGTGGCACATTCCAGTGTCCTTCTCTGTTAAACAGCTGTGCAACCAGCTAATGTTCAGGTGCTGTTCTGTGGATGATGGACCAGCAGCAGCTAACTTGTCAGCCATGTGTTATCTAAAGAATGAGTAAGTCAACAGCAGAATGAGTTCAAAGTGCACTGGGTCCTCCCTTAACTCTAATCTGGAGACATCCCTCACATCACAAATAATGCCAGCCAGTGATGTTAGTGTAGTCACAGTGTGGTTTAATTAGATTCAGTTGTTCACAAAGTGAATAACAATCGCATAGGACACACTTCACATCAATAAAACTGCTTTGTTGAAAGTTGTTTTCTGGCCCAATGTGCTTATCTAATCAAATATGTTTATTGACCTTTTATTGCTGCCAGCAACAGTCAGAGGTTGTAAAGTGTAAATAATCAAAACATTAGCATGTGTTATCAGATTTATGGATTGATAAAAGCATCATTATAATTCAATTTACTTAACAAATTATGTAGTCACAGCAACAGCTCCATTTAGGTTCCAGAAGAGTAGCTTTTACATATCAATCTGGTACCAGACAGACATAGAAATAAATCAAATCTGTAGCAGGCATACGGGTGGTTACGGTTTTTGTCAGCCAATAGATTTTGTTTCTTGACTTTCTGCAAGCAGTGAGACATTTACATTCAATCCTGGAAAGCTCATTGTTGGAGTGTCTTGGCAAGAGAGAGGGAGGTGACACTGGCTCCTCCACTGCACTGTGTAATTACTGTGGGAGCTGCTGCATTGTGACTATTTTTGACAGGCTGTGACACAGATGGATCTGACCACAGAGACTCAAGACACAAGTCAAGGGCCTCACAAAGTCAAGGGCCAAGACGGCACTAAGATGGCGAAAAAGGAGGGAGAAGGGAGCCTTTGGCAGAGTGATAAAGTTGGTCTGTCTATTTTGCAAACATCTTTTTAGCAAAAACCTTTTGCAAGATGGCTTACATCAACTAGGGAGAACTTTTTTTTATTTCCTATGTTAACAACAACAAAGTCACACTGCCCTCTTGAAATCTTGTGGCTAATGTAATCACTAATGGCATCTGCTCAGGTTGAGTCTTCCTCACAGCACATATTTAGTGTTCCCTCAAATGACACTCATTTAGATATAAACAGCGCATTCGTGATTTAATCTGCCACGTGTTAAATCTATCAGTAGGGCCTATTGTTAGGCTGGTTCCGTACTCTCATGTGATACCATCAAATAGACATCCTGGTGGCTTTATTCAAAGCAGCAGATAATATGCAATTTCGTTACCCTTTACACGAGAGGGAGGAAGGGAGGAAGAGGGAATTCACAGAGAAGAAAGTGATGGCTTTCAAATGGATTGACTATTTCCTCTCCAAATTCCTTCCTTTCCACATTTGCTCGTTGTGGTTTTTGTTTTCTTATTTAGGTTGTCTGAGAGCAAAATGAGTGTAGCTTTTATTTAAAAATTGTCCCTCAAAACTGCATGTCTCCATAGCTACTGAGCCAAGGTACATTAGTCAGACTTTGTACCCTGGGCGCTGCTTCCTGAAAGGCCCGTTTTCATGCACTGTTTGCATTTAAATTTAAGGTCAAATATGTGAAAATGGATCTGATTTTAGAATTGCCATCAAAATCAAAGATCCCTGAGCCACTAGAATAGTCCATATTATGTAGAATGTAAAATAATTGTTCTAGCTCTCGCTCTTCCTTACTGATTGCCACTCAACAGAGCTGATACACTTTGTTGTCAGCTTGTTTGAGTATATGCAGAGACCAATGCAGCCAGCTAGGGTGGGTGTGGGCTTTGGGACAGACCTCAGGCCAGGGAAGTCCTCTCTCTGAGTCACTTCAGTTTAAAAGGCCAGCTGTGTAAATGACTTACAGCATGCATTCAGAATGCATACTGCTGCATGGAGTGCAGCTCACCCAGGTCCTGGGTGTGTGCCGCACATGTACATGTAGCACACCAGAAAATTAGCACACTCACACTGCTGTCATAGCTAAGTAACAATAATGAATTTTACCTGAAATGCCCATTTTCACATTCCCAACCACAGGAAAGGGCCATGACTTGGCTGTCTGCTATTTGCATCCTGGATGACTTAAAGAGAAGCAACATCGTCACCTGTGCTGTGTGTGTGTGTGTGTGTGTGAAGAGGGAGGTGAGGGCATAGTCTATTACTGCAAGATGTTTTCATGAGGTGTGTTAGTCACAGCGTTTTTCCTGTTCTCATGCAATCACGGATTAATGTATTCTTATGGGGCTGTGAGTCAATCACAGTGCTACACTAAGGCAATCGTTTAGTGGAAGCTACATTTAGCAAATTCATAAGGCTATGATATGGTAGTGTCATGTTATTACTCCAAGTTAAGACCAATTTTATCCTTTGTTTTTCTAGCAATTCTTAAAGTTCTGGCATGTCTCACTGAAATAGGATTTTTTGTTTCACATTTAATAGGTTATGTACCGATACCCTTGAGCTCCACACTATTAACGGGCCATAATCCTTTAATGACTACTTGAAGCCACAGATGGCGCTGTTACCATTTTACAGTTGAAGTTGCGGTAAAAGTTCCTATAATCCTTTTTTGTGTCTGCCTGTAGGGCCTCCCTTTCTCTGATCACATTTTGTTTTCCTCTACCTTCTCTTGCTCTCTCATCCCGGTCCTGTGGATCTGAGACACTTCTGCGACACCTCAGGCTTCGGAGCGGCAGCGGACAGATCTGACGGCTCGCATTAGCCCAAGTGCCTGTTCGGCACCCTCACACCCCTCAGTCCTGCTTTGCGCGCTTCCGCTACTCTGCAGGGGGTATCTCTCCCCGGCACCACTCTCCCTAGAGTTAACTACCACTATTTGCACCTCCTTTAGATCCCTATAGAGCTCATTAACTCTAATAACACACCTGGTACCTAAAACCAGATATGCGTAGTCAGTCAAAAGGGGCTGAACAAACAAGACTGGAACACTGCACTAAATTATACAAATTGATACCCTGTAATGATCTGTCTTTTTCTTTATTTTTCGGTTGCTCTCACGCTAACAGTGTTTTAAACACAGAACTGGGAACAAGTAAGTCATACTTTCCGTATGCTAAAAGGAGACTGGTGATGAAAAGTGGAGTGCAAGGGAAGTGTAGCTTGCTCAAGATGTTTATCCTATAAAGAGCAAAGAGAGTTTGATCTCTTGGGTACAGAGTGACTATCCACAGTAGGGCGATTACCACGTTAGGAAACATCCTGCCCACTGGCAGCTACTGATGACATCATGCCTGCGTGATGCATTTATACTGCTGTAGGGTCTGACAGCACTGACTCTCTGGGAAAGGGTCAGCAAAGTTTCATGCTATAACTTACTCACACTTAACGATCATTAACTTGCCACAGCAGGAGTGTGTGCACGGTCACGAACACATGCCTTTGAGCCTTTGCACAAGAAGAAACAGTAACCACAGGAAGAAGAGTCTTTACATTTAAGACTTGTGGTCAAACCAGACGTCTTTTGCTTGAAGGCCATGGAGAGGTTTGAGATTATACTAACAGCAGCTTTGCTGACCTCTTACTCTCACTGCAGCCATAAAACATGTTTGCCCTCTGCACCCATAAACCTTACTTCTGGGTTCTACCTCATGCTTCACTGAGGATCACAAATCAGAGATTTATACAGAATATGTGAGAACCTCGAAGAAACACTGACTGTAAAGACTTTCTTGGTATCTTGATGCATGCTCAATCATCCAGGTAAGACAATCCCAAAAAGCCGAAGCACTACAAAGTGATAAAGTCAGTCTCCAAAGAGGCCGAAGAAGTCACTTGGATGAGTGACGAAACAGTTCTCCCACTGAAAACGTTGCGACCCAATTCCGCCAGAATAAAGTTTTTGGGACTTTCTTGGTACAGTCATTCTCACTTGCTTCTGCTGGTATAGAGCCATGCAGATGTTTTTGTTTTAAAGCAATAATTTGGCTGTTCAGTGAACACGCTTTATCACTTTGTAGTGGACTGTTGGGTAAAAAGATCAATAGCTCGCTGTGAAACATGAAGCAGCAGGGCAGCTGAGACTTGCACTAATTACACCCTGTTTGTTTAATTAATGAAAACAGTGAAGTGTAAAAGCAACATTTTGCCGAGGTTTATTTGCCAAGCTATTTCTTCATTGCTCCAGTAGCTTACTGTATACTGTCATCCTCTATCTGACACAACTCCTCCTTAAAACCCTAAAGCTGTCATTTTTACATTTCTGTTTTTGTATGAATAAAACAGCTGGTGAACTTCAGAGATGCTTGTAGTTTTGATGTAGCCAGGCTAGATGCTGCCCCGTGCTTTAAATCTTTGTACAAAGCTAATTTAGCTCTGCCATGGATGTAATATTGATCTTTTTATCAAAATAAAGATGAGACAGCAAACAAATCCAGTTTTTAA